GATTGTAGGTAGGCAGATCTAAGTTCAGATCTTGGTTCTGCCACTGGGTAGCTATGACTGTGAACAAATTCCTCAACCTCTCTAGTCTTAGAGACAATGCTAGAATTCGAACCTCTCTCCCAAACCTCAATTTTCACATTAGTAAAATCAGGAAAGAATACTGGAGACTAAATGTAGTAATTACGTAAGTTGCATAGTGCCTGGCATATAGTAAGTGCTCAAGAAATGGTTTCTTACTGATCAGGGCTTTGATTCTTTTGGAAATTTGAACACCTGAATAATACTAATACTACAGCTATTAATACCACCTGTAGAAGAAAATCTGTAGCTTTCAGATATAATGTCTCCATGTTAAGGTCTCTGTACTTGTCCACCCTTTAGAGTAGAGCCATCAGACCTATTCATTTATGTGTACTCTCATAATAGATGGGCAATTGAGTGTTTCTATAGATGAGTTCGAAGAGATTAAGTTTTTCTAGAGAATTTCCACAGAGCTGAAACTCATGAAGCATTACAGTCAGATCCAAAGTGGGTGGTAAAACTTTTCCTTACGGTTAAGAATTCCTTTCTTACCCGAGCTGGTTTGGCTCAGTGGATGGAGCATCGGCCTGTGGACTGAAGGGTCCCAGGTTTAATTCTGGTCAAGGGCACATGCCTGGGTTGCAGGCTCCCTCCCGAGTAGAGGGCATGCAGGAAGTGGCCAATCAATGATTCTCTCATCATTGATGTTTCTATCTCTCTCTCCCTCTCCCTTCCTCTCTGAAATAAAAATATATTTTAAAAAAAAGAATTAGTTTCTCCACTTTTGAAGATGGAAATGCAAATTTTGGTAGAGAGATAGAGAGTTAGAAACATCGATGAGAGAGAAACATCAATCAGCTGCCTCCTGCACATCCCCCACTGTCTAATTGCTATAACAAAGGTACATGCCCTTGACCGGAATCGAACCTGGGACCCTTCAGTCCGCAGGCCGACGCTCTATCCACTGAGCCAAACCGGTTTCGGCATAAAAATATATTTTAAAAAAAAGAATTAGTTTCTCCACTTTTGAAGATGGAAATGCAAATTTTGGTAGAAATGATCATTTAAAAAATGTATTCTTATCATTATGTGGGCTATCCACTATTAATTTCTGTATTATTCAGCATGTCTAATTGCTATAACAAACCACCTCCAAATTGTAGTTTTCTACAGCAAATGTTTATTTTTCCCTCATGTCACAGTCTAGTGTAGGTTGGAATGGAGAAGTTTTACTCCACACAGTCATTCAGAGATCCAGGTTCCTTCTCCTTCCCCACCCTTCCTATCCCTTATGGTGGAGTCTTCCATCAAATCCCTTTTATAAAGTTATGAACTAGAGAGAATCTGTGGAGAATTGGGGAAGGGTTTGGGGCCAGGCCTGGTATCGGCATATATCACTGCTGCCTACATCCCATTGGACAGATTCAGTCTCGTGGCCTCACTAACCACGGGGAAGGCTGGGCACAAGGGAAAGGGGTCTGGTGACACATCCCTGTCATAGTTTCCACCTAAAGAACCAAACTGAGAGTGAGAAAGGGCTGCATATTATATTAGGGTCAGTGTCTAGAGCACCTTTGGTGAAAAAATATTTTTCAAGCTTCCTTGCCAGCATTCACACAAGTGAAGACTGGAATACAGCTTTTCATGTTGGCTAGTCTGGGGACCTAACAACCTCTTTCCCCTCTTTTTTCCCTTTATGAGAAAATGAAGAAAAAAAGACAAGTTATGTTTTGAGTTCCATATAATCTATGTGAATTAATAATAATTGTTTCTAATATAAACGTAATTCTAGAAATCAACTTTTTTGTTTGACAATTTACTATTTTCCAGATTTCATTTAAATAGCCCAGTTTTATTTTGTCTCCTTTTGGTGAAAACCACTGGGCTACTCATATGCACTAAGGGCTATTCCGGTGATCCTGGGGTCCAGAGGTCCTCAGAAGTCAATTAGATATGAAATCTCAAGGTTTCCAATGCGCTTAGGATATTGGCAGAAGGTCTGAAGTACCCTTCCCCCTACATGAGGTTCACAAGCATGTATAAGGTCTGGATTTGGGGATGCCCCTGTGAAGTATAATGAGGAAGCTTCTATTACTACATTTATGATGTTAACTAATACTGGTTTATTTACAGACTGAGACTACAATTCACTGCTGTACCTCACCAATGAATAATATTCATGAAATGGAAATACAGCTGAAAGATGTAAGTTCCTTTTCCTTTTGTTAAGTTGTGGCTAAAAGGGACTAACTCATTTATTCTTAAATTTCATGGAATTTGACAGCATTGATGCCATGAAAAATCTGTTGAGGTGGAGAACTGAGTGGTTCTCCATCTCTCTAGGTTACTGCCTTTAAGTCTCTTTTCAGGTATTCAACAGGCCCAGTTCCTCTAATCATGGTCTTGTTAGGCTAGACAGTCCTAGAAATTACCCATCACTACCAAATACCTCAGCAGCAAATACCCCTTCTCTTCCTAAATCTAATTTGCCCAGCTATTTTGTTATTATAATGTAATTTAAAGTTTTCTTCTCTCTTTTTTTTATCCATGCAAGATGTACTCTAGTTTGAAATTCTTCCATTAGAACCAGGATTTGCTTTCATAGTTTGAAAAGGAAAATACATTCTTTGTATACTCATTACTTCTTTTCTTTAGAATTTGATACAAGGTTATTTTCAATATATGATGAAGTCATATTATTTTAAGCTTATGTCTTAAATGGATTGGTAGGTTTCATTGGAAATTAAACAAATTGAGGACACAGGACTACTATTCACAGTGTATTTTTTTTTCAAGGTTTAAGATTAGATATACAAAGTATGAAATTCTTGATTTAATTATTAGGCCACTAGGTAGGCACTTTGATTCTAGAAATATTACTGGTATGTCTACCCTGATATAGGTATGCTTTTAAGATTCCTGTTTTATTTCATCTAGCAAGTATACCTTGTAGTCTGTTTAATTTTCAAAAGAATAATTTAAATCTGTTGAGCGTCTGTATAGTGGGGTACTGTAGTACCCTTATCAAGGTAATTTACATAGAGGTAACTAAAATAAAGAAGAAACATAGTGTTTAACTATCAAAATAAGTTGGGTTTGTTTTTTTTTTGTCTCACATATTATCCCCAGCATCTAGAACAGTTGAAAGAATGACTGAATGGAATCTTGTGTGCATTTTACTAGTGTCTCCTTTAGCAAAATACTTGAACTTTAAAATGTTACATGCTTATATCCAATCTTTTTGTTTTGTTCTGTCTCCCCAGATTATTTAAGGATTACATTGTACTTCTCTGCTCTGTTTACTTAGAAAGGCTTTTAGACAAATGGAGTAAAATTTAACCCACCTCACCTTCAGATGGTGATCTAGACTGAGCAATGCTTCTCAGACTCCAATGTGCATATGAATCTGGGGGACTGTCATGAAATGCAGATTCTCATTATCTTGGTCTGGGGTAGAGCCTGAGATTCTGGATTTCCAACTAGCTCCAGGGATCCAGGGGGGCGGTGATGGCCACAGGTGCATTTGGGGGCGATGAGTAACTGCTATTAAAATTTTAAAAAAATTAATTTCCAGGGGCTGAGTAATATTTTTTCTGGAAAGGGGGCGGTAGGCCAAATAAGTTTGGGAACCACTGGTCTAGAGTGAGATGCCAGCTTGTGGAGGAAGGGAGCCCCTCCTTTTACAGTTCACCTGTGACAAATGTAGGGTGACTCAGAAAGATCTGAGCACTTTGGAAAACATATTCTAGTGTGTGTTTTACTTCAGTGAGGTTATACCATGCGACTTTTTTTTCAAGAACTCTGTGCCATCTCCACTGGCAGCCCTGAGGGATAGGAAGTTATTCATCCTGGCTGCTACTTCAACCACTGATAACAACAAATTACAACAGGTCTGGGATGAATTGTGACACAAGGGGCACAGATTAAGAACTTGTAAGATTATAGAAATAGTTATGGCAGCTTTATTACAAAGGGTTTGTGGATATAAGAAACATCCGAACTTGTAGAGAATTTTTGTATGAATTTATCTGAGCCAAACCGTCATGCCAAGAAGCCAGATCTCAAATCTTCGGTTGGCCAGAGACAGTTTTGCAGTTATTTTTATACATTTGGAACTAAGGAGGGAATTACTCTGTGAGTCATAAGAATTTTTATGTGCTGGAAAAGACTACATCACTTGGGTTCCCTTCCCATTTTAAGATTTTGCTTTTTAATATTATTATTATGCTTATCACTGATTTTTGTATCTTTTCACATTGAGGCTCTAGAGAAAAATCAGCAATGGCTTGTGTATGATCAGCAGCGAGAGGTCTACGTAAAAGGACTTTTAGCAAAGATCTATGAGTTGGAACAGAAATCGGAAACAGCTGCTCATTCACTCCCACAGCAGATAAAAAGGACTGAATCAGAAGGTACTGGTATAATATGTTTTTTGAAATAGGCCTGCCAGCATTTTCCCAAAGGAGAGATTCCTCAAATTTAGATTTTTATAGATACGTGTTAGAAAGTAAAAAGCAAGTCTTATTAAAATGGTGTTCTGAAGAAATACCATTTTGGCCATTCTGTCTTATTTTCCATTGTTTTCTGATAAAAGGGCATAAGACACAGGGCAAAGGGGAAACCTGGCAGCTCCAAGGCACACTGTATTTTCTCCACTGTGCATGTCCTCCTCTCCTCTAAAGCCCTTCTCCAACCTCATTCCTCCCAGAGCCGGCCTTGTCACCAATTACCAGATCAATCCCAGGAGAAAGAATACATTTTGCAGGTGATACTACAATCATTTGAATATCACCATAGAATTGAGATGAAGTTTCTTATGAATGATGCTTTTTGCCATGTGCTTTACAATTTCCCTAACATTGATTTCAATTGAGTTTCACAAGAACCCTAAGAGGTGGGGCAGAAAGATCATTACTCATTTTACAGGTGACAAGCTAGGGACAGAAGAGAAACCCCATGCGAAGCACAGGCAAGGTTCATGATCTTGGAGCTCCATATTTGAAATTTTTTAAAATGAAGCTAATTCATTTTTTAAAATGAAGCTAATTCTAGAAATTTTTTAAAATGAAGCTAATAGAGAATAAGGGGACAAAATTACTACACATGAAAATAGGATTTTAGTTATTGGCTCAGTCTAATTTTTTTCTTTGGTAATATAGGTAGGGGTGTGTGTGTGTGTGTGTGTGTGTGTGTGTGTGTGTTATCAAAGTAATAATGGTTTGCTAAAATAATGTAATAGTGTGTTATCAAAGTAATAATGGTTTGCTAAAATAATGTAATAGTACAGGAGGGTCCTGCTCCACCTTTCCCATCTCATCCTGTCTCTGTTTCTCCCTATCAGGGCAGCTACTGTTAACATTTCTGTTTTTTAATTTAGGTGATTATCTCACCTATAAATAATTAGCTTATATCCCTATTTGTTGATTTATCTTCTTTAGACATTAGTGAGTTTTCCTCTCCATAGAATAGTTATATTACTATTTTTTAGTTCTTCTAGTTATTAGTGTTGTCATTTCAAATAACATACCTGAACTTCTATTTTTGTACTATCAAATTTCAGCCCTATCTCTTGACTCCTCATCTTGTAAAGGTAAGGAAATAATGTGATCTTGTTTATAGAAACGGGTTTATCTTTATATTTTCAGGAATATTACATATTTTATAAAGTGAGTTATGCCCTGCTGTGTTTGTCATAGGTTATCTTCAAGAAGAAAAGGAAAAGCATGACTACCATCTCTTGGCAAAAGCAAAAAAAGATCTTGAGGCTGAACGACAAACCATAACTCAGTTGAATTTAAAACTTCATGAATTTCAAAGAAAATATGAAGAAACCCAAAAAGAAGTTCATGACTTAAATAAACTGTTGTGTTCACAAAGAAAGGCAGATGTACAACATCTGGAAGATGATAGGCATAAAACAGAAAAAATACAAAGGCTCGAGGAAGAGAATGTTATTACGAGGAGAAAACTTGAAGAAGAGAAGAAGCGATCTGAAGAGCTCTTATCTCAGGTGAGCCTAACCAATAAGGTTGTCCATGATTCATAATTCAAGTTTCTCGTACTTACTAAGTGCAGGGACTATTTTAGCCACTAGGGAGCCAGGAAGGAACAAAAGTTCCTGATCCCTTTGTGGGTATTCATATTTAGAATTGAAATAGACCATAAACAAATTAAAGAAAACAGGGAAATATGCCAAAGAGAAATTGGGGGCCAGTGGAGGCCTCACAGAGGAGATAGTATTTGGACAAAGACTTGATGTCAAGAAGGAACCAGCATGGTGAGTGGCTAGGAATTCTCTGCAGCCAGAGGAACTCATACACTTCAAAGGCTCTGAGAAAGGAGGAGGCGAGTATGGTGAGAAGCCAAAAGATGTCAAGAGGGGAATCAGGCTGATCCCAGGGCCTTGACCATGATACCGTGCTCAGGTTAATTCACGTGGCACGTTCCGTGTTCTCATTCTCTAGCTTTATGCCAGGATGTTGAAGGCGCTGAGTTTGGATTATTAGAACTGAATGCTACTTTGACAGAAACTCATTAAGCTAAATTTTGCTTAGCAAAGCATGCAATAATGGAAAGGACACTATTTGGAGTTTATACCTGGTCTCTAGTCTAGGATGTGTGTGGCCTTAGGCAAATCATCTAGCATCTCTGACTTGCAGGTTAACCACATGTCAGATTAATACTTCTTGTATCAGGGCTTTTGTGAGGGTCAATTGAGAGAATGTAAAAGAGTTTTGCTAGTGATTTCTACTATTAGAATAGTAATTTTAAAAATCCTCCAAAAGCTGACGGGGAGTGGATCATTTGTAACATTTGCCATCTTAGTCTTCACCAGGCTTACTTCTGCCTACCAAGCAGTGTTATTTGTGAAAGATTATACATAAATGATTGAGAATTTTGCTCCAACTATGTGGCCGAGGAGGTGAGGCACTGACAGCTGTTATCCTATTCAGAAATATTAGTAGATTAGATGTCAGAACTTCCTGGAAAGTGGGTGTGGCCACTGCAGAATTCTGTGCCTTAGGGAGCTTTTAGCCTGGGTGGCACTGCTCAGCTGCTGGCGTGAATAGCCATCAGACAGCCAGCTGGAGTGACTCACTCAGCTGAGCAGGTGGTGTTCTGGTTAGAGCTGTGAGACTAGTGAGCTGCTCATGCATCCAGGTCAAGGGACAAAAAGGTTGGCTGTGGCAACACTGTCTGTCTTTACACCCTACAGATCCAGTTTCTTTACACGTCTCTGTTAAAGCACCAAGAGGAACAAACGAGGGTAGCTCTGTTGGAACAACAGGTACTCACTGGGGTTGTTTCTAAATTCATTTTAACCCATTAGAAAATGGAAGTTTTCTCATCTTTACACTATTTTGTGAAGGACCATTTGAACGCCTGTTGTCAGGCCCTGAAGTGAGGCTGGCAATTTTCTTGACAGGTAGATATTCACCTTGGCAAATTTTATTCTTCTCCAAATGGCTTCTGTAGTTTCTACTGTGGCCTAATGGAATCTCCCTAATAGGGCTACCTTATGACTTCAAGCAGAACTCAAAGAGACACCATTTATTCTCAGAATGTAGACCAAAGGTTTTTAATACATTCCAAACCTGGAGCAGCCATCTCTCCCTTCTCCCCCTTCCGCATAAAAAAAGTGGGGGTGGGGGGGTGGGGAGATACCTATGCTTCAGGCTTTGGCTCTGCTCCTTAGGTCAACCAAGTCCTCCACCATAAACTTCTTTTAAAAAAAATTAATTTCGTTTTATTATTGAATTTATTGGAGTGACATCGGTTAATCATACCATACAGATTTCAAGGATACAACTCAATGAAACATCATTTGCACACTGCATCATGCGCTCACCACCCAAAGTCAAGTCTTTTACCATCTCCATTTATCCCCCCCCACACACACACACCCTCCTCTACCTCCTCCCACCTCTGTTTCCTTCTGGCTATCACCACACAGTTGTCTGTGTCTATGTGTCATATGTATATTTTTCCTCCTTAATCCCTTCACCTTTTTTCATCCAGCCTCCCAACCCCCCTCCCCTCTAAGAGCTGTCAGTCTGTTCTATGTATCCATGCTTCTGTTTCTATTTTGTTTATTAAATTATTTTGTTGATTAGATTCCACATCTCACTGTGCTCAGTTGAATTCCTGCTCTGATAGTATGACAAATGTTTGCTTCTTGTGCTAATTAAAAAGTGCAAGTATCCAGTCAAGAACTATACAGTTTATACCAGCTGTAACTATCTTGCTTTGGGCATTTCTCCAGATTCAGGCATGTACTTTAGACTTCGAAAATGAAAAACTTGACCGTCAAAATGTGCAGCATCAATTGCATGTAATTCTTAAAGAGCTTCGAAAAGCAAGAAGTCAAATAATACAACTGGAATCCTTGGTGAGTCTGGAATGGTTCAACTTAAAATTTATTTTCTTCTTTTTCTTTCTGCCCTCTTTCCATTTACTAGTATATACCAACCAGTTCCCAAACTAGGAGGCTACTGCTTAAAGAACAGCTGTTTCTCAAATCAACAGGCAGAGCCCCTGCCTCATTTAAAGCAAGTGACCTTGGAGCATCAGTGCAGAGCACTAGAAAGAGGGTCACTATGTGCCTCTTGGTAATCATTACATTACTGGTGCCTAGGACCATCCCCCACTCACCCTGGGCTGTCACTCTGGAGGCACTAAAAATACCCGGGCCTGGGAGGAGGAAAACAGCAAAGGAGGGGATTTTGTTTTTCTATTTAAAAGAAAGAAAGAAGAAAGGAAGGGAGGGAGGGAGGGAGGGGGAGAGGGGAGAGGAGAGAGAGAAAGAGAAAGGAAGGAAGGAAGGAAGGAAGGAAGGAAGGAAGGAAGGAAGGAAGGAAGGAAGGAAGGAAGGAAGGAAGGAAGGAAAGAAATGCTGTTTTCAGGGATAATGGACTATTACTGTTAAAATACTGTTTTAAGTATATTGAATTAAGCACATTTTGTGGGTTACCCTGACCACCTAATCTTTTTTTATTGACTTTATTGGGGTAACATTGGTTAGTAAAATGATATAGGTTTCAGGTGTACAATTCTGTATTGCTCCATCTGTATATTGTATTGTGTCTTCACCACCCCAAGTAAGTCTCCTTCAATCACTGTTTATGCCCCCTTTACCCTCTTCAACCTCCCTCCGCCCCCTTTTCCCTCTGGTAATCACCATACTGTTTTGGGAACACAATCATTTAAAAGAAAAACCTTTAAATAACATTGGTTCTAAGAGGAAATGGTTTTTTACTTACGTATTTTCATTTTACTAATAGGCTTTTAGACCAGACCTGTTGGTGTCTGTGTTTATGTGTGTGTCCCATAGCACATATTTTACATATCATCCTAGTACTGCTGAGTATTTCAGAGGGAGAAATGTTACAAATAGAATTCCTCACTTTTCAAGAGAGAAAAAAGCAAATGTTTTTTAAAAAAACATTTGTAACTTCTTTACGAATAAAAGAAAATATATTTTTGGCTCTATCCTTTAGTATGTTACTTATTTTGACCATTTATAATATTTGAAATTTATCCTTCATTTCTGTTAATGACTTTCTCAAAATATAGGAAACCAGAGGGTATACAAAAGAATCCATTATTTTCCTGTACTTTCTTTGTATTCCTACTGTCTGTCATGATAAACTGCTGTAAAATTCTCATTTTTAAGCTTTACTGACTATCCTAAGTTCCTCAGAAAACATGGAAAAGGAAAGTCTCAAAGGTATTATACAATTAGTCATTTCTGTGTATAACTTGTTTGATCTGCATTCTGTGCTGCTCCTAATTCCATGTACTTCTTTATTGCTGAAGCGCTCCTCTTACATAAGACTAGCAAATTTTGTCAGCCTTACACACAGGCCTACCTTTACATTTGGCTCTAAGCATTTTTAAAAAAACTGTCCATATAAACACCTAACCCCAGTACTTCCTAGGTAATCTGGGTAATTTACAACCACCCGGGTAATCTGGGTAATTTCTATGTTAGCACCACAATACTGATGAGCAGAGACTCCAAAGAAAGTCTGTCTGCAGGGCTGAAGCAGTTGGATCTGTGGAGCGGCTACAATTTACGTACAAATGGTGTTCATTTGACATTTGTTTTTCAGAGGCAGCTTCCTGAACTTGCCTTTACAGAGCCATTAGTCACTTTCCAAGGAGAGACTGAAAACAGAGTAAAAGTTGCCTCACCAAAAAGTCCCACAGCTGCACTGAACGAGAGCCTGGTGGAATGTCCTAAGTGCAATATCCAGTATCCAGTCACCGAACATCGAGATCTGCTCGTCCATGTTGAATACTGTTCACAGTAGCAAGAGTTCTTTATTTTTTATCAAGAGATCCAATACTGTATCTTATGTTAGTGAAGGAACATTTTGAATTCTTTATTTCATCTGCCTGTCTACCCTCGAGACTCTGGCATAAAGTGTTTTACTGTATTTTTTGGGCTGCTTTGCATTTTCCTTGGCACTGATACCTACCTGAGATGGTTCATATTAGGCCTTAGTGTATGCCGAGATGGCTACCATTTTGCACTGTTAAAATACTTGATGAAGAAAAGATAGTTCAGGTAATTATTTGTGAATTAAATCTATACACAGGCAAGCAAATATTTTGTGTTTGTGGGTTTTTAAAAATCGAAGTTAATTAACCAAGTATCTTACTGTCTTATTTAGCACTTTTATCTAAGCACTTGATATGTGTAAATATACCTACAATTGAGTCCATTGTTAAAAGATGGTGATACGTTCTCTTTTTTTCCCTTGCTATTATAGAATGGTTATTAGACAGGTTGGGAATGTTCTTGGTCTTTATTGCTGTTTACTGTTGAAACTGTAAACGTACCTATGTTCTAAGCACAAAGCAGATTCTGCTTAAGGAATACTTCTAAGTAGCCACAGACACACAATATTTTCTGTCATATTAACTGGGTCTAACTTTATGGTTTTTTTGTTTGTTTTTTCAGTCCGCAGGCCAACGCTCTATCCACTGAGCCAAACCAGTTAGGGCTTTGTTTGTTTTTTAATTATGTTTTATTGATTTTTAGAGAGAGAGAAGGGAGAGAGAGAAACATTGATGGGAGAGAAACATCAATTAACTGCCTCCTGCATGGCCCCCACCAGGGATTGAGCCCGCAACCTGGGCATGCGCCCTGACTGGGAATCGAACTGGTGACCTCTTGGTGCATGGGTCAATGCTCAACCACTGAGCCATAGTGGCAGGGCAGCTATAACTAAGTTGAATTTCATTAACACATGTTGGTCAGCTAAAATTGTTAAAACGAATTTTAACAAAACCATCTAGCCCTCACATTTTAATTTGCAGGTATTTTATTTACTTATTTTTGGCACTCTTATAGCTGGCAATGTATTTGCTTATCTGAATATATATTTTTATACTTGTTTGTGTAAACCAAAAAATTTTTTATTTGGGTTTTCTAATATGCTTAACACTGGGCCACTGTTAGTAATATAAATGAGAAAAAAATAAAATTATTTAATAAGTTTTTATATGTCTAGCATGTATGTATATAAATATTCTAAGATTTCTACCCTGAGAGGAGTACCAGAGAGATTACAGATTAACATACAGTGTGAAGTAAGGTGAGGATACAATGGAACCAAAACCTACATTAAGCTCAGAAAAGTTAAGCAAAATCCCCACAATCATTTAAAAAAAAAAAAAGACATTCTTGGGTCTCAAACTCCAAGTCAACTTCAACATCTATCTTCTTTCCACCATGCCAGAAGCCTTTATGAATTCTCCAAACGCAGTATATACTTAAGCAATACCATAACTGGAGTCTGAGTTAGAAAAATGACAGAACACACTACCTGGTCTCCATCCCTCTTATCTGAATAGTTCTGCCTTTTCAAATCCCTCCACCTGGTTCCATGGACCCCTGCTATGGGGGTCCTCTGACATCTTAAATTTCTGCTCCAAACATTTATTAAATGCCAACTATGTATAGAAGGCTTTGGGCTAGGTATTAGTTACACAGTGATAATAAAATACAATCTACTAGAAGAGACCAAAATCTAAAGAGATAGTATACTACACTATAGGAAGTGCTATAATGAATTTATATGTAGGATAGAGCAGTTTATTTATTTAAACCTTGCCTCATTCTAATATTGATTGAAAGTCTGACTCTTCAAAGATACAACTCTTATACTAAGATAAAATAAAAAAGAAGTACGAAAAAGCAAGAGGAAAACAAGACTAAGAAGTAAAATGAAGCCACTCATAAGAATAGCTCCAAGGCAGGCCATGGAGCGTTTCTGACAGGTGAGCCCTGACCTTGGTGCTGAGCTTTGTAGCTATTAGCACAGAGAAATAATCCTGTACGCCATTCACAAGACTTAAAAATACAGCTGGTCTTCAAGAGAAATGCCCCTACTATGATCCTGGTACTGAGACTCCTCTAGTGTGCCTTCATAAAGAAACCATGTAACGTGAAGGTCCAGGGCCTCAACAACAATCTGATAAACAGCAGAGTTCCACTCTGGTTTCTTAATATTCTTACGCATAGGTGAAAACATCGTGTATGGAATCATGTCCATAATCCTCAAGTGCAGGCAATTCCATACTCTCCCAATAGGAAGCTCTCTGCTGTTGCCCCAGGGCAACTGATAGGGATAGGCGCTAACTCAAAAGCCTGCCAGCCAGCCAGCCAGCTGGACTGTGGAGACTGGAAAATGCACGCCTTCACCCAAAGAGGGCGCAGCTGCTCAGCTCCAGCTAATATTCCATGCCGATGAGTCCAATGTGACTAAACTTTCAGATTTTCCAAGAAAAATCTAGAAGTTTTAAATGTGAAATCTCCAAAGTTCTCTAAATGTTGGGAAAAATTACTACTATGTGAGCCAAACAAACATTTCCAGTTTGTAACCTCTGTTTAAAGCATCTGGGGCAAAAAGAGTGGCTAGTTCCGCTGAGATAGGCAGGGAGCTGAGGCAGGCTCAGTCCTACCTGCTCTCTTAGGTCTGAGTTCTTCTCAAATCCAGCTCATTCAAACACACCTGTCTGAGGGACACAGAGTGACTATGACCCTTTCTAACCGTCCTTTCCACCTGCCACCTACTAGTAGTTTTCTTGAATACACTCCCCAACCAAACTGGCTGGCTGCTAGCATGTCCTTGCTACTCTCTACTCTCCAAACCCAATAGCTGAGCGAGTGTCCAAGTTGGACTGGAACTGGGAGGTCATCCACTCTAGCATTTTTGGTTCAGGAAGTCCACCTCACCTCTAGAGTGCGTTGAAAATGTTGATTCTTTGGCCTCCCCCAGATTTCCTAAACCAGAATGTCTGGGGGACAGGGAGCATGTAATATGCATTCTTTACAAGCTCTCCAGGGCATTCTGGTGTTTTACTGAAGATTGAGACCCATTGAGCTAGTCTAACCTTGACTTCCTGATGAAACAGAATCCCAGAGAGGGGAGTGTCTTACTCAAGGTCACACAGTTGATCTGCAGGAGAGTGAGGGAGGCTCAGGCTCCAAAGTCAGTGGTTGTGAGAGCGCCTACACTTTGGCTAGTGTGCCATGATTCTAGCAAAATACATCATAAGTATCGTGTCATTATATCCACACAGAAACACTATATGGGAGTTTATATAACTGTTCCATTATAGAGATAAGGAAGCTATGGTTTAGAAAGCTAATTCACTTGTCTCAGGTCACATAGCGAAGACAGTGGCAGAGCCAGTACTGGAACTCGAGCATGTCTGCCTCTAGAGAAAGAGCTGTTAGACTTTATACTTTTCCATCATAAAGCCAGAAAATGTATGTGAAAGCACATTGCAGATGGGAAATGCTGTTCAATTTTTTCCCCCCACAATGATTATAGCATGGACAGGAATGAAGATAAGACAGTGACATGACCTATTTCCAAGAACCTCCATTCACTTCACTCATCCATACAGGGGTGGGGAACGTCTGGCCTGTGGGCTGTTTAAGGTTCAAGAAATCATCTGGTCTGGCCCTGCCAAGGCATTAGGGGAGAGTTAATTAAATATTTGACCAAATATAGCAGGCTAATTTTTAAGTTGGTAATTTTGCATGGCCCGTGAATGATGTTATAAATATCGAAATGGCCCTTGGCAGAAAAAAGGTTCCCCATCCCTGCTAGAACCACAGTCCTCATCCTCATTTGCAACTAGTGACAGATGCATTCAGATGCAAATAACAGAAAAGACTGACACCATCAGGTCATCAGTTGTTTGTTTTAAAAGTCTGGAATCAGATCATCCCAATTTAGATGAACAGTTTCACAACGTTTAGCTTCTGGGCTGTCATCTCCATAATTCTCTTGGTCCCCTCCTCATGCTCACGTAAAGGCTGCCACAGGTTCCAAACATCCCAAGCTAACGAGACTTTTTTTTCAAAACCAAGAAGCAGCCCTACCCGGTTTGGCTCAGCGGATAGAGTGTCGGCCTGCGGACTCAAGGGTCCCGGGTTCGATTCCGGTCAAGGGCATGTACCTTGGTTGCAGGCACATCCCTAGTGGGGAGTGTGCAGGAGGCAGCTGACCGATGTTTCTCTCTCATCGATGTTTCTAACTCTCTATCCCTCTCCCTTCCTCTCTGTAAAAAATCAATAAAATATATTTAAAAAAACAAACAAAAAAAAAAACCCAAGAAGCAGACAGCGAGCCAGGATACTGAAGGAGCACTCCTTAATGCCTTTCTCCTTTTATCCAATAAAAGGAAGTTTCCTACAAATGGAAAGATCCATCCAGAAACTCCTCAGTACACTCCCCTTAACCTCTCATTGACCAGAACTGATCACACAGGGCATTCGGATGAGCCGAGCGAGGCCCCAGCAACAAGCACTGAAGTCTCCACGGCTTAGCGGTGCAGGGTCATGTCTTGCTCACCTCCTTCATCTTGTGACTGCACCACCCGGAACGCGAGGCCTCCAAGGTGTCCGCTGCGGGAAAGGAGAGGTGAAGACGCGGGCAGGAGCCCCTACCAGCAGCAGACCGCAGACCGGAAGTGACGCACTCTTCCCCCACTCCTATTGGTCGGAACTTGGTCTCAGGGCCCCACTTTCTGCAAGGTGTGGGGGACTATTCACCTGCCACCACGTGCCGCCCTGGCTGCCCCACGATGTCAGGAAGGGAACTGGGGAAGTCTGGTGGGCGGGAGTCTGCCACTCATCTCACGCCCACCGGCTCCCTCACCAGCTTGGGCTTCCAAGAGTCGGATGCAGCCTTTTTCCTTTCCACTTTATAATAATCTTTCACTTACCTGCCACTCTCTCCCCGCAGACACCCCACCCGCAACAGACTGTAAGGTTCTTCAGGTCGGGCCTGGCTTGTAGGAGGTGCTCAATACATGTTTGTAGAGCAAGTAAATAAGGGCCTTTTAAAAACAATGATTTCAACCATTTGACAGTCTTAAAAAACAAACAAACAAACCTGGCTCTTGCCCTGGGTGACTCAGTTGGTTGGAGCGTCATCCCACGCACCAAAAGGTTGTCTTTCTCCCGTCCCCACTTCCTCTATCTTTGAAAATTAATGGAAACATAACCTCAGATGAGGATTTAAAACAACAACAAAACACACCTGGTTCTTATCTTCAGAATTTCCAGTAAAATCATTGAGGTACG